AACATAGACAATATAGAAAATAAATTGACACGTTTTCAAATATATCAAGAAACAGAACTTGCATGTAAATACAGGAATCCACTTCACAGAACACAATACTCTGAAATATTAGTTGAATACGAAAAAGGATTCGACATGACCACTGGAAAAATAAAAATTGACCCATATGCCACAGGTCATCCTCTAAACGAAGGAACCTCCTATATACCAGTTAATTTTGAAAAAAGCAACGGACAACCTGGTGGACATCTAAAACCCCATGACACCAGAAGCACACGCTTACAAGAATTATCACTAATGAATACTACATATTTCGGTAATATCCACTATGATATTCATTTAGATATGAAACTAGATTATACAATTAGCCGAATTTTTCAAGAAATGTCACTCTCCGAATTAGAAACACTACACCAACTATGCGAATTAGAACGAACACAAATATTACAATCACTTGCACTAGCAGTATTAAAAATACCCTATGCAGGATACTTATTATCTGGAAATAGATCAAATTTTTTAGACTATGAAGGAAACATCTTATGGTTTTATACTTGTACTAAAAAAGTATCACCACTATACGTTTTTGAAGATAAACGATGTTATAAAAGAATCCCTATCTTTTATAAGAATAAAGTACATTTCGTGGATACACTTTCACGAAGAACCTATTTCTGGGATACCGCAGTCCCATGTGGATCAGAAAACAGCCACAATGTAGTACAACTAAACCCTGATGAAAATAAATATTATCTTCTCACTCCATATCCCACATTAATGCAATCACTCAAAAAATTTTCACCAGAAAGCATTCGCGCTATTGCTCGAAACCCAAATATAGACTTACAATCAATAGGAATCTATTCAAAATCAGATATTCAACATCACATTAGAACACAACAATTCCAAGAATTATTAACACAAATGGACACTATACAAAGACAATCAATAGACCAAAATTTACGCAAACTTGCAGAAACCGCAGGATTTGCCGATATCTACACGCAAGACTATAGCGGATATTTTAAAGACATTAAAGATTATATATATCTAAACGGTGAAAAATACCGTCCCCAAGATATATCACCAATTAACATTTTTAGCTTTGTTACACTCAAAAATGATATCCTCGATTTTCTAGGATGGCCCTACTACATCTTAGAAAAATTGACTATTTTATACGCAATGTTTAACTTTATTGGATTTCTTTTCTCACTTTTAAAAGGAATCTACAACACATGTGCTATACACACACAAGTCAATCGACAAGCAAGTGTAGCACGCATACTCTTTGCAGGATTTTTTGGAATCTTTTCTACATCTATAAACAAAATTCTTTTAGACGCACAAATAAAAGAATATAACACAAAAATAGCAACACGACAAAATACATACGACGAAGAACATAACAATGTAGACATAACGCCAACGGCACCACAATTACCACCCCTACCAAATAACCATCCACTATCCCTAGTCCCACGAAATTTTCGAAATTTAGCCATCACACATAATCCAAATTTTCGACTCACCACATCACAAAGTCCCATCCAACATATAATGACACACCAGTCACAAGATGATAATACTTATGAACAAATTATTGAACAACCCCATACCACCGCTTTTCAGTCTCAAAATAATCATTTTTTTAGCCCACGATGAGCCGCCAACTTGGATCACTACACCGATCAAATTCCCACCCAACCAATCTTACCTCTCCAATCCCAATAATACCACTTTTTGCTTTTCCGCCACCCGATTTTTCACCTAGTAATGTAACATCAGGCATGAATTCCGACACTAATTCACACATCTCAGTTTTATATTCCATCTCACAACTCAATAACCCGAATATTGAAACCCCCGATGAATTTGCCGACTCAGAACCATCCCCATCAAATAATTTTCATAACTCTTCTAATTTTTCTCAACCCCCTTTTCAACCCATATTATCCAATAACCCTGACCCCATTACTCCCACACCCTCTTATGCTTCCCAAGTTACCCCAACCTACTCCTCATACCATTCTGACCAATCCTCTCATTCTCCAGACACCCCCCGAATCTCCCCAGAGCTAGATAATTTTATTACCCTTCAACAACAACCCTACCACCTTAATACCCCAACCATAAACCAAATCTCCTCCACAATAAATTCATCCAACCCCCCTACCCCTACACCCTCTTCAAATTATACTGAATCATTAGCACCATCATCCACATCAACTGAATCTTCACTCAACACTAATAGAGCTTACCGCACTTTTAAAAGAAAGTTCCCCAACCATCCTTTCCCAGCAAAACCAGGAACAGCCCGTGAATACATCAACCACCCCAAGCATACTAACACAAAAGAATTTTTAGCCATCACCTTACCCTCATTCCCATAATACACCTTAAACACCCCCCACGACACTAACGAAACACGCAACTTTGTAGATGAATACGTTTTAATGCCCACTCTCTCTTGGACCTCGTATTATCATTTTACTAACCCTCTTTGCTTACCTTTATCTAACACTCACATCGATATAGAGCGAAATACGGACATGCTATATCGACTCACTACACCACTAACCGCTAGACAATTTACTTACGTTGGATATAAAAAATCACTAAAAACACACACTGCACCTAGAGCTAACGAATATACACTCGAATACTATGATCACAACATCATCAGAGCTAACCAAGATCAATTCTTAGACGACGATCGCTTCGCTAATCCACAAATTACCGAGAAATTTTTCATCAAGACACCATATACATTCACACTAAACATCTTCGACCGAAAGTTTGATCACATTATTTCAGAAGCACTAACAGACACACAAGCATACGAAAGTTTTAAAGAACGCTTCCAAATATTTTCACTAACCTTTCATTTCCTTGCACCACACGAAAGAGATTTACACTGCTCACACGATATTATGTTGCGCACTAAACAAACCCACACATATAGTTATTATCGCTTCATCCAAAATCACTTTGACCTACACACACCCTCTAGACAACCACACCATCGTTTTCAATTCATTAATTCCAAATACACTTCACCATTTTTCCTAAATTTCACATATTGCATTAAAGATACTAACCTTCATGGTATTCTTCGCAATTATGATCCCATAACCCAAATGTACATCTTCTGTCCCATCACCAAGACCTTCAACGCCGAAGAATCCCGACCCTTCCTTATCCCGCACGAGTTTGTACAACCTATAGAAATCCCAATTTTAGAATTCATCCACAACACTAAATTCAATCACAAATTATATAATCTAATCCAAAACACACCTTATGAGTTTGCAGTTGGCACTGAAGAACTAACCACTATTAAGGCACTTCAATTGCTTTGGCCACTGCTTCAGACTAAAAATATCATCCGCATCTTAGCTAAACTACTAACAACTTCAGAACTAATTCACGACATCTTCCCCCACGGTTTTTTCCCCGACGACTAACAGGTAAGTATGAATTAAATGAATATTACTAACTAATTAAAATATTAAAAACTTACCATACTTTATTCATGTTTTCTTTAGATTTTTAGCCTTCATCCGACGATCACCTACAAAAACCACAAAAGACAAATAAAAATCGCAAATTTCATCAAACAAATTTCAAAAATTCTATTAATCTCTTACACTTATAAATTTATAAATTTAATACCAATGCAGTAAATTCATTTCTAAAATTTCCCCCACAAGCAGTAAATCTAATTATAATGAAAATTTGTAACTTAAAATTCCCCCATAACTAGCAGTAAATTTCCAAATTCTATGCAGTAAATTAATAAAATGCAATTGCAGTACTAACCTTTTGATATTTTCATTCATTCGCACAGAAATTCTATCCACACTCGCACAGCTCGCCCACGAAGAATTGTTTAAAATAATGAATTTCAGTTTCAAGTTTTCACACTCAACAACTCTAACATATAATAACATGTTTCAAACCTTCCTTTAACCCGGTTGGAAAGGAATCATATACTAAACAAAACTAACCAACGCAGCTTACTAAATACCACAAATCATAGAATAACAGCATGACTTAGAAAAGGAAACCAACGGTACCCAAACCGGATTAACCCAGTTTAAAACTGGATAATTTATTCTTTTGAAGACTATTACAAAGTCTTAGAAAGAAATAATAAAACACAAAAAAGTCGAAAGACAAACCCATACCACAAACAATTTGATTTTTGGAAAAAGTACATAACCAACAAGACATAAGTAAGACCACAACAAACCCAACATAAAACGTTGTCACATAACAGGACCCCTCACAAAAACCGCATGAAATCATACTCCCACTCCTGGCCTAACCCACCAGGAAGGACGTCCTGAGCATGCTCTATAGCCGGCCTAACCCACCGCGCTACATCCACGCTTTGTGACCACACCTTTATTTTTAATAAGAGCTACTCAAGTGTGAGTAACTCTTCAAAATAACCGAACTAAAACAAAAAGCTTTTGTGAAAACAACTAACTAAAATCATAATTAAAAAATATTAAACTAATAAATGTTTTATAAAATGTAAATTACATTATGCAAATACATAGATCAGAATACAACACCAAGGACGAACATCTAAAGACAAAACGACCCCACTACACTCGAG